CTACTACTCTACTACTACTACTACTACTACTACTACTACTACTACTACTACTACTACTACTACTACTACTACTACTACTACTCTCTCTACTCTACTCTCTCTCTCTCTCTCTCTCTCTCTCTCTCTCTCTCTCTCTCTCTCTCTCTCTCTCTCTCTCTCTCTCTCTCTCTCTCTCTCTCTCTCTCTCTCTCTTATTCGTTTCAGTTCAGTCAATTGTGGTGCATTGGTTGAGGAGAACTGCAAAAGGCAAAAGATTTCGGAAAAAGGGAAGACGCATATTGTTATTACTCAGAAAGCATGTATCTATAATTAATTCACCCTTTTATTCTAACTAATTGTCACCCTTTTTTGACACCAAGAAGCTGAAATTTGAATATGCGATTTCGACAGCGACCTGGTCTAGGAGGACCAATAAAAGGAATTTTCATTTTATGTTATATAAATTTCCATTTTATGGATGATTACGTTTGATATTTGAACCAGTTTTAAATATCAATATGGGTGTTAAAGAAATGATAAAAATCCATTGAGACAACGAAGTATTGCATATGTGGATTTCGACCTCTGTTATTTATACCTTTTTTTTTGCAATTTTCGGATTATTTTCTACTCATTGCAGAACCAATAAAGGGAAAATGCTTTTTTATTGTATGTATAATTTTTCTATCTAGTTGATGGTTTCATATGAGCATTGCATTTTTACCTGAAAAATATAATGCTAAGAATCCATTAGAAGATTGAAGCAATGTTATATAGATTGCACGCAAGCATATATTCTTTTTGGGTACACTTCATTGATCCCATAGAGAACTTGGAGAACCTTTAAATGAATTCTGCTTCTTGTTTTAAGTATAATTTTGCAGTATGTGATCACATATGAGAGTTGAACCAGTTTCTATATATCAGCTTCAGTTTCAAAATTTTTGAAGATCCATTCAAACGGTATAATGTTGTTTATATAGATTTGCAACCTCTACAATAGATACCCTTTTTATTTATTATTATTATGGTATTTTTCCATTGTAATGATATTATTCCATTATTTTTCTTACTTTGGTTGATAAAACATTTCAGGGTATGTTTCCATTTAATGATATTATTCCATTATTTTCTTACTTTGGTTGATAAAACATTTCAGGGACAGGACTACTTATTTGTACGGCAGTTCATTCCTTTTGTGGCTAGTATTTTAATAAAATCTTGGAAGGAAGCAGTAGACAATTCCGACATGGATCTCATATTGAGTGGCTTGGCATCCCTTAATGATGAGATATCATGGTTCAAGAAAGAAGCTTCCAAGTGGGATATTGTGCTATCTGATATCATTCCTCAGGAATCAAATCAAGATTATAGCAGGCATCAATTCTAAACATATTCATTTATTTAATTGGTCTAAAGACTCTTTAGCTATAAGTAGTTGCAAATTTGCTTAGGTTTTGATTGTTTAAGACTGTAAATGGCGTTAATGTTATTCTCAATAAAATTTGAGAGGTTAAATAGAATTTAAATTCATAACTGTGTCCCCTCTATATGCTGGTTATCCTTGAAATAGTTGTACCATTACTACTCCAATTATGAACATAACCTTCATTTCTGGAAGAATGAAAAAGATGGCAGTTTGTTTAGTCACAAAAATGGCACATGATTTCAGGAAAATATCATTTCTCGAGGATTTTAATTTTTTTGTGTTTGCTATGAATTTCTAGATCTCTGTGAATTTTTTGAATCTTGTTCATTGGAAGCTATGATATTCGTTGTTACAATGGGCTGTCGTGTTTCAATAAGGGGGCAATTGTGATATAGCTTTTATTTTTCTATAGTTGCTGTTGTGATTTGCTGAAGTGCCTTTGTTTCATGATTTCTGCACAACCAAGAGATTTTATGTTTTCCTGAAAATGACTTCTAGAATTGTATTTATATATAAATTAGTTAATTGTTAACCCCATCGTGAATGTGAATGGAGTATTCTTCTTAGGTGTGAATGTAGGATCATAATTTCAGCATCACATTGAATGGAAGTCATTTCATAGAAACCTTTGGAAAAAGATAGTACTTTAAAATGGTGTTCTTCTTTCTTTAACAGTTAAGACTTTACACTAATGTTATAAGGTCCCCTTATAACATTAGGGGATCTTATAACATTAGTTATAAGATCAAGATCAAGCAGTCAAAGAATTGATTTTGTCCAACTGGTCCAGTTGATGATCTGACTAATTATATTCATCAAAATAAAGCATATTAAAACATTTTTTTCGCTTTTCCAATAACGCAAATACAGAAAGGGAAATAACCATTTATTTTTTGAGAGGGATCTTTCTAATCCTTATCAAGAAGAAAAGAGAGTTTCTTCATTGAATGTTTGGTCCTCAAATGTACTGGGTGTGGGATATGGGCATACCTCCTTGCATGGCCTTGTGTTTTGCCATGAGATGCATCCACTTGGGCCAGCCTGCACCACCAAACAATCATTCCCCTGACCTTTTTAGTTTAGTTTTTTAGTTGGACTAGCAAGGGACCAAATTTGGTCCAATCTGATACAAAACTGGCCTGTTTTGGGTTGTAGAACATCTCTGTATACTTATGTTGTGTCATGTAATCGACATATACCTTTAGAATTTCATCGATGAAGATAACATAACATCTAAAATTACACCATGATATCAGAGTAGGAGGATCTCATGTACAATATTCAGTAATATGTCCACATCTACGAGAGGGTTGAAAAAGAGAAGCATTTCATTGGAAATGCAACAGTTGCATATAGGCACCAGCAGTCAAGAGAACAGCAAGACTACATCAATTCACATTGTAGTGAACAAAGTCAAATTGAGGATGTTCTTGTCAAAATTATTAAAACCGGACCAGACCGGCAGTCCAACTGGTAGAACCTGCGACCGGAACCTTGTCCAATCCGATGCAAGTACTAAACCGGGTTCTACATAGAACTGGTCAAAATTGGCATTTGACCGGTTGAACCGGTTCGATCACCGGTTTTGCTGGTTCTATTGGTCCATCCGGTCTGGAAAGTTGTGCTTAAGTTCTACAGTTGAGGTTAAACTCTATTTTTTCAAATTTATTGCCAATTTTTTACATGATCTTATTCTTCCTTTCCATTTTTTTTTAATGTTGATTACATGGAAACTTTTTATTGCCAAAAATCTTGATAAGAAAGAAGCTATATCTTACTTTCCTTTATTCGAAAAATAAAAGGTCAGATTTGTCCTTTTATTGTACTCTCTCTCTCTCTCTCTCAATGTGTTTGTGCCTTGCCCATGTAAAATGGAAAGAGAAAAAGCTCTCCATACGCACCTTGCTATTAATTAAACAAAATGCAATGGTTAATTAAATGATTTGCATTGCGAACTATTTACTAATGTTTAATTTAAACATTAGTTAAACAAAATACAATGTTTAACAAAATAAAAAAGTAATGCTTAATTATTTACTAATATTTAATCATGGTAATTTACTAATTTTTTTTAAATGCAATATTTTATTAGTAAAGTGAGTTAATTTTTTACAATAATGTTTATATGAATTTCTAATATTTTAATAAATTTTATAATTCTTTTATTTTGAAAAAAAGGTTCGATCAGTCCGACCACTGGTTGAACCGATTTTGATTGGATCCCCTTTTTCGGTTCAAGCAATGGTCCGATCTTGATTACACTGGTTCTTACGGGATTTTGGAGTATTATAGTAGAAAAACTGGACCGTTTTCCATATATAAAAAGTTTCAGAGGTAGATGCCTGGGATGGAGAAACCCAATGGTTAGATAAGGTAAAGAGTGCTATAGCTCCTGTTAGATCCTGCATGGATATGAACAGGTCCCCAGACCATCCGATGTCCACAATGGACAGCTGAGCTGTGTCTTTACCCCTCTCAATTTCCATCGAAAAGTTTGACTGACTTGGAGCTGAGGAATGAAACCCTCTCGACAGTCCATTTTTGACATCAGATGGTTGAGGGGCATGTTTATATTCGTGCAGGATACAGATGGCTAGTATAGTATATGTTGCCTTTAGATTATTGATTTGCAATCAACCATGATATGACAAAATACATCCATTTATGAGAATCACAATTTTCGACCACATGTTTAAACAATAGAGAGGAATGATTGCAATAAGTGATGTGGGATTTTTTAATTCGAAGTGATTTAACTTTGAAGTAACATCAGTTAAAAGTCTATGCTTGTAGCATCGTCGTTTGCTTTATAGAATAGCAAGTTTGATTCTATATACTTGTGCAACCTCAGGTTATTAAAACTTGGGACTCTGATACTACTTTGCCTGACTGCAAGTCTGCTCAAACTAATTATTTTCTCATCCAGGTCAAAATTCTATGACTTGGTCATACTCAAACTTACCAGCTTGACTTGAACTATTAAAAACTTATATGACCGTAGATTATCATCAGCATCATCATCATAGCCTTTTCCCAATTAATTGGGGTCGTCTACACGAAACGTGGTCCGTCATTCTGCTCTACACGAATCCATAGATATTCTTCAAAATCAGAGATATTTAACTTCAAGCTTGCAGAGATCTATCATCCAGACTTAATTCCTTCCTTTGTCTTGTTATAATTCAAATTCTTTCTAGAAGGTAGAGTTTCACAACGGCATGTTGATTGGCACATTCTTTACATCGTACAAAACTGATTATGAGTTGAGGACTACGTGTGTTTTATGGTTGTGGGTGAATTGTTGCTAAAAGTTACTTTACCCTGAAGAAAATCATAACTGAATGTCTTATTTGACATTAGGATTGGTTATAAGTTATGCAAATATTTATTATACTAACAGTTTAGCTTTTAGTTAAATCTCTCTCTCTCTCTCTCTCTCTCTCTCTCTCTCTCTCTCTCTAAAGTAGATTCTAACCTGCAAAAAGCAATTTTTCAATAAAAGTTGACAATGTGCAAACAGCTCTTGATTTTTCTTTTTTGACTTTTTATGATATACATGTATGGTAGGTTCCTCGAAAGCTTGACCAACTCTGAGATAGATTATCCAGTGGTCTTAACTGCATTATGGGCCATTGAAGTGGTGTACCAAGAGAGCTTCTCTCTCTGCCTTAAAGATGATTCAAAAACTCCACCAGAACTACTTGAAGCTTGTCACAGATGGGGGAATGAAGAATTCAAACAGTATTGTTGCTTGCTCCAGAGAACTACAGATAGGTACCTTGAGAAGGCTCCAATAAATGTTGTAGCGAAAGCCGAAGAAGTGTTTGTACGCGTTCTTGAGAATGAAGTCAAATTTTGGAACATGAGTTATGGTGAACAACAAACATGAGATCCAAGATAGTGAGTTTCATAGCATATGTCACAGAACATTTTACCATGTTGACCTCAGCGAGGTTTTCTTTTACCCTGGTGGTGTCGAACCCAGAACTTTTAGCTCATGATTGGATTCTGTTTGCAAGTATCTTAATGGATATGGGTGATTGGTCTTGCTCACTTATACTGAATCATATTGTTACCTTTTGTTTCTTTATGATCAATAGTTAATGGCTTTGATAATTTTTCAAAAATGCCAATCTGCAGTTGACTGTCATGCACCATAGATTTAAGATTAGGCAAATATGTGTAAGTTCAAATCATACGAATAATATGATGTGTCATAACCATTCTGCAAAATTCAGCTTTTATAGTTGGTTTATTCTTAGATGTGTTTGCTTTGCATATGATAGTAAAATCAGTTCGTAACGAAACATTTTACTCCCTTTGTGAGTGTTTGGCTGCTAACCATGTTATGTTTAGGATGTACACTGCTCGCCCATTTAAGATTAGGCAAATATGTGTAAGTTCAAATCATACGAATAATATGATGTGTCATAACCATTCTGCAAAATTCAGCTTTTATAGTTGGTTTATTCTTAGATGTGTTTGCTTTGCATATGATAGTAAAATCAGTTCGTAACGAAACATTTTACTCCCTTTGTGAGTGTTTGGCTGCTAACCATGTTATGTTTAGGATGTACACTGCTCGCCCATTTTAGCCGTTCCCTAATCTTCAACATTAAGAGAGAGAAACCAAGCGCAACTTCTCTAGACACTCCCCTTTGAGTGTAAAGTACATCTTAGCATCTCCTTGACATGGAGAGAGAAACCAACTGCTGAGCCTTTCAGACCATATTCTGCACTTTTTAGGAGCAAGCCAGCTTTTACTGCTCAAATTTTCAAAGCCCACAGAGAGAGAGAGAGAAAGCTACAACTCAAATTTTTGAAAGCCCACTTCAATCAATGGCCTAGGGCCCAAAGTGAGGAGCTTGTGCCGAAATAGCCGCTAGACTTGGGGCAATTTTGTGCCCAAGTATCTAGATTGACCTAAACAAGCCGGTTACAGACGATTAGGTCCATTGAATAGATTTTGACAATTGGCTAAAGCCTAAGGGGCAATGATCCAATGAGCAAGAATGTTGGGGTTTTGATTAGCCAGGCCCATCTACACCATCATCTTGTGGACAAGACCATCACACTTGTTGGGTCTTTGTCCTCCAAAACAAAAAGGGGGAGAGAGAGAGAGGGGGGCTTATATAAGCACCAAAGAATTTGGTTATTTGGATTTTTATAGACAAGATATCTTAAAAAATCCTCATGGAGAAATTGTCACACAGAAAGAAGGTGTTTTTTCAAATCCTTGTGGTTGGAAAGTCTTTTGGTTTGCAAATCTCAACCACTTGGTCTGATGATATTTATACACCAATCCTTTTAAGTTTCTCTAGCAATGGAGTAAAAAAAATCAAGCACTCCTGCACAATGTGGAGAGAGAAGATTTTCAACGATACATTTTTTGTCCACGTGTAAGGCTGTGATAGGCCAAGAGGTGATAAGAATTGGGTGTGCCATATGCAAAACGCCAATGCTCCTATTGCCCTTTATTAACCCATACCTCTACACCTTATTCCCCTGTAGGCTTTATACAAAAGGTCTAAGTGAAAACATTCAAGCAAGCAGCTATGGCTTCACTAGCATCACCTGGTGTTTCTCTCTCTACAACTTCAACGGTGGCCATGCAAGAGCGCCCTAAGCTTCACACGCATGTTAATTGCCAAAGTTGGAGAGGGGGGCTTAGCATGAGGAGGATGGTGGCACTTGTGAGAGCAACACCTTCCCCTTCCCAGAATATATCTGAGAAACTATCGGAGAGCATTGAGCATGCAAAGGAGGTGTGTTCGGGAGATGCGGTGAGCGGAGAGTGCGTCGCTGCGTGGGACGAGGTCGAGGAGATGAGCGCGGCAGCGAGTGATGCTCGTCTCAAAGAGAAGGAATCCGACCCATTGGAGACCTACTGTAAGGACAATCCGGAGACCAAAGAGTGCCGCACCTACGAGGATTGATCATTGATCAATCTCTCTTTCACTCTCTAACGATGAAGTTGGCACGTGCGTTTCTTGTTTCTTTATAGCCCATCCTCCTTGGATATGATGTGTTACATTCAGCTCTCCTTCTAGGGAATATCTTGGTTATCCGAGTAAATTAGAATACCATGGACTTGACCAAACTTTACCAAGTTTATAGATTCAATGTTTATGAAGATTTCAAAAGGAGCAAAGTTTAGTAAAAAATTTATTTTTCTCAAATGGACGCTTGTGTGAAATATTCAGTTTCTCTTTGATCTCTGACTCGTGCTGATGAATGGATATGTAGCAAGATAGAGAACAGAGAAGTAGTTCAAGAATTTCCGACCCAACTCGAAATCAGCTGAGTTGGATCGGACCTGGGAGGTGACCAATTTCAAATTGAAAGTACCCTCTTTTTTTCTAATTTTTCCAATTTTCTGAGTATCTTTTAGCGTCGTCTGACTCCAAAATTATCCGGTGGAATTGGAATTGGACCGGTTTTTTAAGAACACTGAGAGTGATGATCAAAATGGCTTGGCCTCGCCTCTTGTTAGGAATAAGACACCCGGTCACACCTGGTAACAGATGCCCAACGTCACACCCGGTTTTCTTCGGGGGAGGCCAGTTAGGAGCTTTTGTTCCTTATCCGTAACCTCCCTAAAAAAGAACAACCAAACAATAACCGTGCCTATAACCAACAATACCTAACCCAACGATCTTAGGTGGTTTAAGGGCTTAGCTTATAGCGTTTTCATTACCCAAGGGTTTTGGAGTATATGGGTTAAATACCTAACCTTTAGTATCAGATCAACTACTGCGATATAAGTTCAAATCCTAGAAAAGGCCTACTTGTGGAAAAGGCTACCTATGGAAAGGACTACTTGAATAGAATTAGAGTGAGAGAGCCCGCCATAGAGTGAGAAACTTTCTGTGTTTCCATCACCCTAAGGGTTTTCCAGGGAAAGTGGCCGTCAATTGTTGCGGAACATGGCCATATTCCCTCTAAAAATTAAAGAAAGTTAAGGGTTATGATAATTTTTTTTTTTATATAGTTATTTTTTGTTTTTTAATATAATATGGCTCTTTTTTATCATAGTTATATAAGTTGGCAATTTTATTTTTAGAAATAAGATTGCAGTATTTTACACTCTTCATTTTAATTAGATAGTGTGGATTTAATATGTCCTCCAAAAAAATATCAATTTCACTAAAATTCGATTTATCCAAGTAAACTCATAGAAGATTAAGGGGAGAGTACTCCAAACTAATGCCCAGCGATGCACAAAAGATGGTATATTTTACAGATGGAGTTTATAGAAAAGGGACTATCCGAAAAAGACCATACGGAGGATAAGCTCTTGATTTGTGCCTTGCAATAAAGCTTGAGTGTGCTCGAATAGTAATAAAAGGTATTTGGTGTCTTATTTTTTTAAATTAAATGATTGGTGATTCGAGGTATAAGAGGTAGTTTCTCCATAATGGTATTTGTTGAAGCCTAGCATTGTTTTTTTTTTCATGGTGATAATGGCCATTTAGAAACTCAGTCTTTTGGGCATTATCTCGATCTTGTTTACTAGTAATTTTATAGTGGAGAATTTCTCTTCGAGCCTATTTAGATGATATTTGGATGACATTTAATTTTATCGAGATTAAATTATCTAACTTAAAATTAAGTTTGTTCTCTCAAGCATATGTATGATACAAATTATTGCAAAACACAGTTATTAAGAAGTATTGTTTGGGATCTTTATTTTTATCTGTTATTTTGGGCTAAACTTTGGGGAATTTGGTCCCCTGCCCATTTTTATTGATGAGAGAACTTGGGATCTTTATTTCAACAATGCATAGTGTATTCTATTAGAGATAAAATAGAGGACTATTTAGAAATGGGTGCGGTTCGTATAGAGCCTAGGCTCTAAACAATCAAATTAGAGCCTACCTTCAATTAGTGTCGAGAAATATGGTTTTAATACTGGAAATCATTTTGATAGCCTTAAA